GGATGTGGTGATTTATAGTTACCCTAAAGAGGAGACAAATGGCATTTATTGTTATTTTGTTGACTTTAGCCTTGAAGAAGGAAAAGAGGAAGAAGATACAAAAGGTACTCTTTGCCAACAGACGCCTGAAAATTCGGAAGAAGGAATTTTAAACATTTTTCCTGTGTGTAATTTTGTGAATGTTTATTGCCTTTGCGGTGAAGTCTGAAGGAATCATCTGGTAGCATGAGAAAACAGATCAGCTGTGATTTATTCACCAGTTTTATTGATTCAAGTTATATTTTATATTTGTGTATTTTTATACATAACTAACTGCTATTCAAATGTGAATCTGTCATTTTTAGTTTATAGTTCAACTGTTGTTTTTTGTGTGTGTGAGATTGAATTCTTGTCGTACTTAAAATATAAAAGCAAATATGTTGACTCACCCAGTACTTGGGGCTGCTAGACCTAATTTTGGAAGATAACAGTAACTGAAATAGCATAAGACATATAATCATGTGCTTTTAACATGTGTGGGTATAAAAAGACATGGCACATACATTTCATTTTGCATTTAAAAGTTGGATTCTATTTAGGCTTAAGAGGAAAAGTTGACATTTTACCAACACTTTAAAAAATATCCCAAGAGCTATTATGTAGACACTACTTACTATAGCCCCATTTCTGTTGGGCCAGATTGTGGTTTCAAAAATAAGGGTATTTATTTAAAAGACAGTACAACAACTTTCTTGAATAAATTAAAATGCTAAATTTAGTAAATTCAGTAAAGTCAGAAATGTTCTTTTCTGGGGAAAAAATAATTGTATCTCTCTAACTATTTTTATCTATCTACTACCTATCTCTATAGACTCACATGTATATGTTTGTGTATGCATACAGATAGATGGGTTTTAAAATTTTTCCTGTTGTTTTCTAAACCATAACGGAATGCAGACCACTAAAGTTGTTAAATTTTATGTACTTTTTTAAGGTGTTTATTTACATTGCAACAGAAACCATGAATGAATTTAATATTTTAAATTGCACAAATAAATTTTTCTTAACAAATATTTCCATTCCAGTGAGATAGTTTCTTTTTCTTTCTCTGTTATATGTATATCAATTCTTAGAATTTCTTGGCAAAATTAACATGTTTAAAAGTATACCCTTCTATCAAAGCACTTTCCCTTTGTTCCACAAATCCCTCTTTGAAGTATCCATCCCAAAGTTATTGTGATAAAAATACAAAATGTTATATACCTGAGGACATTCATTGATGCATTTGGAATAACTGAAGACTGGAAACAAATTAGATGCTCATTATTAGGGGATTGATTAAAGAAATTATGAATGAGAGATGAGGAAATTACATACGGATATCGCCTGATTCCCAGGATACATTAAAAAAGGGCAGAGTCTCCTACAGTGTGAATAAGCACACACATATACACATAAACATTGAAGAAATTAGAAGAATGTTCAAAGCAGTTTCCTTTAGAAAGAGGGAAGGAAACAGAGTAGAATGAACAGGTGTGGAAATGAAATTTCTGTGGATATGCCTTGTCATAAGTTTTGATATTGGGCCCTGTGCATGTTTTACATAATTAATAATAAATAAAAAAATTTTACAAAAAGCATTCCCTTAGAAAGTGAAAACAAGCCAAAGCAATTGCA